CCCGGCTCCAGCGGTTGAACGACCCTTAAATTGCATTAGATGGGAGGACGCCAAGGGACTTTCCATAGCCAGAGCAGAGAGGGAAAGAGGTGAGCGCTGACCACCCCAGGACAAGGAATCAGGTAAGTAAATCCGCTTTAATTGAGCCCACTAAACAAAACAAGCACCTAACCCTTGCAATGCAATGCAGGGTAGCCCCACTGCAAGGATATGCGTTTTAAATTCCCAAATGCACCATTTTTAATCCTGCCTACTACCTCCTAGACTGGACTGCCTGGCTCCTACACTACAAGCCCCCCCCGCCCCCCCCTCCAATGCTGCTTTAAGGACTTACCTTAAATGATGTCTCTTGAACTGATCATCTTAGTCTTTCCAGTAGTTTTCAGGAGTCCCTCATGCGCTGGCGCCGGTCCCGGCGTTGGATCCGGGACCGGCGTTGGATCCGGGTCCAGCGCTGACTGCTGTCTGTGGGCGTTGACGCTGCTTGCATTGACTTACACTATGTCACTCTTCTCCTGGCTGAACATCTCTAATGCGCATGCGCCCGCCACATCATCCTGCATGGCCACTTGAGAACCTTCAGATGGGAACGAGTGGCGGAGACACAGGTAAGGTATGACCTGTTTGGTAACTTTTTTTTTTTTCGCATCTCTGGAACAGAGATGCGTCCGGGCAGCGTATTTACGCACACATACGCGTGTTTACGCGTATATACACATACATGTGTACAGCACATTAAAAATTCCATTACGAGTGATGCATTCTGGGATTGCATATACGCGTATATACGCAATATACAATTTTGCTTGCGTTGTGTGTGTGAATGAGGCCATATGCAAGAAAAAAAAAAACATTTCTACTTTGATTTTCTTTTACCCGTGATAGTTTAGCAAACCAGACACACACACCTCTCTATTTTCCCATACACCTTCATAAAAATGAATAAATAAATAAAATTAAGTCTATATATCCCAGGGGTGGACAAATGAATATGGAATTCAGGAGCCTAGCAGGGTTTTTCTTTTTAGGAGCCAGCTACATTGACAACAACTGAAAAGGAAGAGTTCGGCAACGGCTGTAATTTTTAAAGCGCGTTGGCTAGCTGGCCCCTGGGATTGGTCCAGCCCGTACATAACCTGTACATACAATATCCATTCTTATTGAACAGCCTGAAGATTCAATTTCCATACACAGTGGAAGGCGGTACAGATACAGAAAACACTATATAGGCAAAATATTTCCCGGAAACTCAACTCCTATTGTCCAAGTCTGCAAAGAGAGCAACTAAAGCAAAGTCTGCAGTCTATTGAAGGTAACCTGACACAAAGGCCGGAGCCAATGACTAGTAGCTACGCATCAGTGCAACTGTATCACAGCTCAGAAATGTCAATATCATAATAATAATAGGAACAAAGGTAGCGGAGGGGCAGGCTCATGCCATTATACCCTGGTGTTATTCTTGTGCTGAAGTGGAATTCCAGCCCAATAGGTAGGTTTTTTTGGGAGGTGTAGACCAGGGGGAAAAGGTTAGATGCTCCATTTGGTTTTAATTGTTGTCTGCGTCCATGTCCTGGGAATTCTTAGCTGGGACAATCCCAATAGAGGATCGAATCCACCCCCAATGCAAAAACCTGTATCACAGCAAAAGCCATGTCAGCCATCACCAATAACACACAGACCCACCATGCACAGCAAGCATTTCCAAAGCTT